CCGGGCTGGCCCCAGTACCAATTTCTTTTCTTCTTATTTTTCTTTCTCGTTTGTTTCTTCAATAAAAAAAAAAAAAAAAAATCTAACTGCTTTCTTGCCTTGAGATGTAAATTCCACATTTTGGCTGCATTGGATTCCAAGTTTTCTGAGAAAAGGCTTAAATTTATTAGGTTAGTTCACAATGTTCTCACAGAGAACTTTTCTTAGAGGCATGGAGCCATATGTGGTTGGGGTTGTTTTAAGATAAATAATGTAAGAGAATCAGCATTACATCGTTTACAGAAACTCAGGCTATGCCTGTCGCTTAAATAATTATCGCACGTGATTTACAAGTGTGGTCCATGGTGGAAGAGGAGAGGGTTGCGGTGGAAGGTCAAATTGACGTTTCCGTGTTTTGTACTCTGTGTTGATGGCGCCTCTGAGTCAGGGCAGAATCAGATAGGCGCTGCAGGGACCAGAGGAGCCTCCGGGAAGCCTGCTGTAACTGGGAATTATTCCCCATCACCCTCCCAGGATCTGGCTTCTCAGTAGCATTAGAGTAGCAAGTGAATAACAGGTTGGATCATAAATAGGCCTTTGCATGAGATTGAATCTTAGCAGTGGGGACAGGCTTGGGTTGGTTATGTCACTGGTGATATTCATATTTTCTGTATTTACCTCTAAAGAGGGGGAAAAAAACAGAGAGGGCCTCTTTTTAAAATAATAATCATGCTTTCTCAGTGCCTAACTTGGAATATGTTCATGATTATTTATATATATAGTGTGTGTGTATCTATCTGTCTGTAGATATATACACACATATACATGTAATATACACATGTATAAACACATAGACACTGCTGTAAACATAAACTGCTGGCAGCAGAAGGCAAGTTATCACAGTTTACTGCAGAACATTGATTTCCAGATGTTTGAATTTCATGAACTAGGAATATAAAAAAATAAAAAAGAAATTGGCAGGTCCGGCATGGCTTGTCAACTTCATATTTTCCAAGATCATTAAAAAAAATTTTTTTGGTGATGGATGTTAACTTATTGTGGTGATCATTTCGCAATATTATACAAATATCAAATCATTATGTTGTACACCTAAAACTAATATAATGTTATATGTCAATTATATATCAATAAAAAATTTTTTAATTGTGGTAAAATACACATAACATAAAATTTACCATCCTAACCATTTTTTAAGTGTACGATTCAATAAGTTATGTACATTTGCATCATGCAATCCAAGATCATTTTGTAAAGGAGTGAGACAGAAGGACCCCCACCTACTATGCTCATCATTTCATAAAAGAAAGAGCATTTTAACACCAAAAGGAAAACTGGGAAGGCTGTCATCTTAGATCTAAGAAATTCCTCACTAATCTGTGGTAAAATAGTATAGAGAAAAGTAATGGTCCAAGGAAAAATAATAGTACAGAGAAAAATATAGCAAGGAGCTCTGTGTAGCCATTACTCAGATTTTGAAAATGCTAACCTTTTGTCATCTTTGCTCCCAGTCGTTCCTTCTCAAAGTACCTGTGCGTGAACTGTCTGTTACCAGGCCATGGCGAGATAAAGAGCTTGTACCAGGATGAAATCAGCAACACCACTAAGCACACAGTTCAGTAGCTGATAACTTCTTCACAGCAAGACTTTGTTGACTAAGGAAGCGTTGTGTTGGTTTACATCCTGGCATGAGCATCTTTTTGTCAGTGGTCCAAGTGCCTATCGCAGGTAGTTTACATGCTGGCACTGGTCAGTAGCTCTGTTCTAGATCTGATTTTGTTTTTATAGAAGTAGAAGTTGACAGTCACAGTTGAAGCCCATATATAGTCATTCCACTATGATCCCATTCTCTTCTCTTTCTCCTCAAAGTTAACTAGTGTACTGAAGTTGGTTTGTATTCTCCCAGTCTGTACTACATCTGCATGAACCCATTAATAATGTTGTTTTATGTAAATGGAATACTGCTATATATAGCCTTCTGAAACTGAATTTGGTTCCCATAACATGAGTTTAAAGACTTACCATTTTGATACATTTAGATCTAAGTTATAGTATTGCTTTCTATGACTATACCACATTATATTTATCTTGTCTCCTGTCAATGGACATTTATTTGTAGGTTTTGCTAATACAAACAACACTACAGTACACAATCCTGTGAGCCTGTCCTGTGCACCCAAATGAGAATGTATCCAGGGGAGTTATCTGGGAGGAGAGTCATGGGTCAAAGGTGAAGTGATGTCTTCATTCACAAAATCTAATTAGCGTCTTAACCAACCTAGTGTTTACTACAGCTTTTCAGGTGAATGGGGAGTTGGAAAGATAATAAGTCAACCATTAATAAATTTGGTTTTCTGGACCAAGTTGAGAGCTGCCAATTGCTGTACTTGAAGGCTTAGCTCAGAGTGTCTATAATAGAGATGATCTGGTTGGTTGGTTACAGTGACTTTTCTTTGTGTCTTTGGATATGGGGCAGGGACCAGCAGGGAGAAGCCAGCCTTTCATTAAGTTTCCCCCTTTCCATGTGAACTGTAAAATGTTAGCAGACTCGGTCTGGGAGGCGGATGAAACTGAGTGTTGCTGTCTCTTGGGCTTTGTTACAGATGGCTTTTTTGGTCTAAGAAAATCCCCTGGGCCAAAACTTGACCAGTCTCCTCTGACAAGTTTCTCCACAGGCCCTTCTGGATGGCTGTGCTGTTGCTCAGAGTGTCAGCTGATCTGAGTTTCTTTCAACCGTCTAGTCTATGGTTTCTTTGAACAATTTGGGGAGATATCCAGGAGGGAAGTGGACCCAGGATCCATTGGACATCAGAGGCATGTCCCCAGCTGGCTTGGAGGAAGTCTGGGAGGCCTCCCATGGCCAGTGTCCCTGTGCAGCCACCATGTAGCCTGCTAGGAGCCCTCAGGATTTTGGCTACGGATGAGTCAGGCTTCAGTCTCAAAGACCAAACCGAGAACTGAGACGATGGCTAAATGTGCTTGATGGCTCTCTTCACAGCCTTCTCTGTTATCTTCAGCAAGCAATGGAGCATTTTGATAGTCTTTAGAAAACAGGAAGTAGGAAGACAATTTGGTGAGAAAAAGCTATAGAGACATCAGAGAAAAAAATAACAGACTAAAAAGGCTTTTCATTTACAGGGCTCTTCTTAATCTGTCCAAGAAGCCTATTAGTTGACCATTCCCAAATATTGCATGACAAGTTGAGTTACGGGTGGGAAAGTCTGAGGGAGAGCACACCGATGACTGATCTGTGTTAGTGATTCAGGTGCCTGCCTGGTCAACATTTGTGTATGATCCGGCCCCTCTGAACCACTGTGGAACATACACCAAGTTATCAGATGGAAGCTTTTTCAGTGGTGGCTGCCTGTGAAGTAATTGGTGTTTTGGATATACAGGCACGTTTACATTTGTAAAATAATTCTTTCTATTTTTTACAATCAGCTGTCAAAGCTTGAAAAACAGCAGCAGAGGAAAGAAAAGACCAGAGCCAAAGGGCCTTCTGAATCAAGCAAAGAAAGAAACGCTCCTCGGAAAGAAGACCGCAGCGCCAGCAGCGGGGCCGAGGGTGACGTGTCCTCTGAACGGGAACCGTAGGCCTGGGGGATGAAACTCAGGTAGGAGCTTCCCCTCCCTGCATAACTTTGTCTTCTCACATTTTGGGCAAGCAGTAATGAATAGAGGACAGAGTAGCTTTTGAGACGGAATCCATTTTATGGACATTTATCTGTAACTTCCTTAAATCTGCTGCCCTCTAAGATGGAGAGAAAAGTTGAGATGCAGGAGCGTCAGGTACCCATGGGCCTGGGGCATTCACCTAGAAGGAGGTTCTGCTGGTGCCACCTTCCTTGGTTGCCTGTGTCAGTTGACAACTGCTACTGCTATTAGCGTTTCTAGAGTGTTTGCAGATCCTTAATCCAGTCCAGGAGCTTCACGTGAGCTCTCGCCGTTGCTCCCTCTTCTCCATGCTTGCTCTCAGCAGCTCCAGTGGAGGCCGTGGTCCTCTGCAGCAGCCTCTTCTCCTAATTTCCTGCTTCATGTTCTGCCATCCTTCACTTTATCTGGCATGGCATTGCCAGTTTACTCTTCTTAAAACAGGATTTTATTCTCATCTCTTCCATGCCCAGGAATGCATTGCAGTTCACTATTGCATTAAGTCCACCTCCCTGCCTGAAGATCAGAGGCCTCTAAAACTTGATCCAGCCATCTGATGGCCCTTGGCTCGAGTTTGTTCCCTCAGTTATTGAGAGCCTCTTACTTGTCAGGAGTTCACAAGTTCAGGAAAAAGCATAGAAATAATTATGCTGCAGCATCGTGCATTGTGGTGATGATGGGAACATGAGTGGGTTGAGAGGGAAGTCGGGGAGGCTCCACAGAGGGGAGCATGCTGGAACTGACCTCGAAGGACTGGGAGATGAGAGGAGAGGGTAGGGAGCCGCCTAAGCCAAGAGAGGAACAGGTGCAAATGTTGCGGGAGGGACAAAGGCAGATGAGTTTTGAAACAGAGATAGGCTGTGAGGAATGGCTGAAGCCTTGGGTACAATTGAGGGCGTTGTCTAGGGAGTTTCTCCAAAGTTAGAGAAGCAGGAGGGTTCTGGATCATAAAGGGTCTGGTATGCAACTCTGAGAAATTTGGATTTCATCCTGGGGTGATGGAAACCTCTGAAAGGTTTTAAGTGTACAAGTGACATAATCAGATACAAAATTTTAAAAGATCACTCCAGCAGCCTTGGGGAGTGAGGCTGGAAGTAGATAGGCCAGTTAGGAGGCAGTTGCAGAAATTAAGAGAAGATATTATAGTGGCACTAGAGAGGGAGAGGGGGATTGAAAGGTGTAAAGAAAACAGAATCATTTCAACTTGGTGACTAGTTAGATGTGGGACAGGAAGCATCTAGAATGACTTGGGCTCCTGGTTTGAATGACGGGGTAAACACAGAAGGTGGGGGTTGCTGATGAGACCTAGTTTGGACATGCTACGTTGAAGGTACCTGCTGGCAGCCAGGGAGATGTCAGTGGTCTGTTGAGTCTGTGGATCCAGAGCTAAGGAGCAAGGTCCAGGCATACATTTTGGAGTCTTCAGCTAATAGACTGTGTGGTTCAAACCAAGTTGGCAGACGGGTTTGCCCTGGAGATGCCAAATTGCGCGAGAGGAGAACATTAGTAAGATGGTTTTCTGCCTTCTGAAAGGGAGTAGGGGTCAGAAGTGTATATACGCAATGTCCTTTAGGATGCACACCACCAGATATTGAGATACATTACAAAGCCATAGTAATAGTTGGGTGCAGTGGTACCAGCTCACAAACATAAGCAGACGAAAGAAGCAGAACAGACAGCTCAGAAAGGATGGGTTGTTGATTCATTGATAGTTTTAAGCGGTGGAGGCTCTGGATAATAAATCCTATTGTCCTGTTGACTTTTCCCCTACTCACTATATTTTCTTCCAGTGTAACTTCAGGACATGACAGAGCTGTGGTCACTGGTCTTGGCTTATTTGTCTCACATACTCACATGACAGTGAAGTGGGGAGCAGAGGGAAGTTCCTTCCCACTTGGCCTCATCTGTCACAGTCGCAGCCCCGCCTTTTTCTTGATCCTGCTGCTCTGGCCTAAAGCCATTGATTCGTATTCATGAACTGAAACAGTTGGTGTGAGTTAGGGAGTCTTCTGAAATGTGGTATTTGGTGTCTAGGTAATGTTAAATATTCATGAGTATACAATAGCATTTTATGTGGTATTTATATCACATAAAACTTCCGTTCCCACCCCTCCAGAACTTCGTGATGATTTGCACATAGTAGTGGTCAGGTTTGTCATCACAGATATTGCTAGTGCTTCTGATTTACAATCTGTCTGGAAATCCTAAATCTGAAGGGGTGCAATGTGCCACATAAAGACAGTGCACAGGGCAGCTCTTCAGGTTAGTTTTATAATTATGGTAAAGTGGGTCCAGCAGTAACTCAGAAACTCATTGAGTTCTTACTTCCATCCAACCAATTTCTGTGTGATGTTAAGTCAGTTATATAATTTCTGCTTCCTTGGTTTTTCTTCTGTTAACTACATGAATAAAACTTATTCCCTTTGTTGGCGATATTGGGAAAAGCAGGCAGGTAGAAGCTATAGTGCCTGGTGACCGTCCTAGCAGGCTAGGGCGTGAGGAACAAGCTGAAGGGGGTCCTCTCCCATGTTTCTGTGGAGTTCTCAAGCTTCCCCTGGCCCCAGGGACGTGTTGGAGAGACTAGCCCAGCACCTGCACCTGCCCCTGAAGGAAGGATGAAGGACAAATTAATCTGATGACCAGGGACCAACATTTGTTAGGCCAGGTTTTCAGAGTGGGTAGTTCCTTGATCCAGAAGCAAAATCCAGAGTGGATACTTCCTATTTTCACTCCTTGGGCTGAGGGCAGCTGCCTAGCCTTCATGCTTTTTCACTCTTTTGGCCCCATCGGGCATGGCACTGTGCCTGTCCCTTCAGTTTTAAAACTATAAATAATAGCCTTTCCCTAGGGAATTGGGACCTTACAACAAGTTAAAAAAGTTTCAAATTTTCAGACTCCCATGATGAACTCAATGAATGGTAAAGGAAAAAAATATAAGCACCCCCAGTAACAAAACCCAGCTTATCAACCTAAATACACACAAACACACACACACACCCCCACACTCTCACACACTCACACACTCTCAAATGTGCCTTGGAGCTTTGTATTTTCAAAATGGCTTTAGGAATTCTAATGCTACCTAGTTGATTCCTTTCTTGATTGCATTATCAACCTGCTAATATATTTTATAAATTTAATGTCTTGATTTTTGGTTTAACTATGTCAGATCACTACTTTGAAAATGTTTGTTTAATTTATTGAGGGGTATTGAACTCTATTACTTTTTAAATCACTGCAAAACATAACAACTTGAAGACCTTCATTTGCATTAGATTTTGGCCTCAGAATAATTCCAGTAGAGAGTGTACCATGGGCATCAGTATCCTGTAGCCACTGGGCAGCCTGGGGGTGATTTTCCCATTTCTGTGGGCAAGAAAAACACCTGAGGGCCCCAGGTGTAAAGGAAGAGACAGTAACTGTATCATCGAACGTCCAGGAAGACATGTTTGCAGAAAGAAAACTGAGCACACAGAAAGAAGGGCCAGAGGTGAGAGTGAGCATCTCTCTCCAGCATCTCCCAAGTTTAAGAGGTGAAATTTCTCATAGACTTGTAGGTATCTATTTTTTGCTTCTCTAAAATTGATGAAATTTTTTTAAACTTGTTGTATTTATTCTCAGGGTAGTGCAGATTGGGTAGCATAGAACTTCGGGTAAATTGTACTGTTGTTCCGTCAACCACCCAAAAAGAGCTAGCCAGAGAGGAGACACAGCAGCGGGGGAAGCAAACCCAAGGGGCACAGCGGTTTGAAAAGAGTAGACAGATGTGTTTTCCTTCTCTCTTGCTGTAAGTCAAGTTCATTGTAGCCATAGCATCATTATGGCCCTAGGAGAGAGGAGGGGAGAGGGTGAGGGAAGAGAGATGATATAGGGGAAGCCCCTGCCTGGCAGGAGGGAAGGGAGACAAGAGAGTGGGAGAGACAAGAGGGACACACAGACGGGATGCCAGAGGCCACACCTGGTGTTCTGGCTCCCCGCTCCAGGCTGGAATCCTTGGGGTGGAGTTAGGTGGTGGGAAAGCTGGAAGCCATGGGAGTCTGTGCTCTGGTCCCTGGTGGGAGTTCTGGAAGGAGACTGCTGTACAGAATGGCTCCAGGTCTCCACGAGGCTGCTGCAGCGGAGTGGAAGGGGCGGCAGGACATGGTTAGGCATTCAGGAGGCAGGAGTTAACAGAAGGTCTCACGTGCCCTGTGAGGGGCTCAGAAGAGAGCTGTGTGGGGGTCTCTTGGGCCGACTGTGGGTCCTGGGTGAAGGGAGCCTGCCGCAGAGGCTGGGAGGGGCAGCTTCATTGAGGAGGGCAGAGGGCTCATGGCCTCAGCTCTTAACATGACCTCCATCTGGCCTCCTGGGTGAGACTTGAGGTGTGGCCAAGTCAGCCAGGGAGGACCTCTGGCCCCTGAGCAATCGAGTGCCCCTCAGTAATGTGCACCAGGACCTAGTGCTGAGCCACAGAGGCCACCAAGGACTGAGCTGTTTTGACACCAAAGCGGGACAGAGTTACTGTGCCTTCAGGATTTCCCCTGCTCAGCAGATAGAGGCTTGTGAGGAAGTTTGGATGGGCCATGGAAATGCAGAAGCCACATTCTCTTTGCACATTTATGTAGTACCATCTGGGTTTTTGTCTAAGCACACAAGGAAAACCATTGGTTTATTCACAGTTTAAGGTAGGCGTCTAGCTGCAATCATTCAAACCAGAGATAGCGGCAGAGGCCTGGTGGCTGTGCCGACGTCTCGGCGTGAATGGATGTAAGTGAGAGATCCTCTGAACTGGCATGCTAGCTGCCTCTGAGACACCCCCAGCCAGCCAAGGACCAGGGTACCCCCACGTCAGAGATTTTAGCCATGTTCTGGGAACTGAAGACTCTAAAGGGGCCAGGACTAAACGACAGCTGGCACTCCAATGATATATTTGGGTTTTTCTTGCCCGTGGGCTTTTGTTGCCTTTCTCCTGAAATGTGTCATCCCAGTAGACCCCCAAAATCACCACCAAATATTCAGGTATCTGGAAGGGCTGAATTAGTAGTGAAAGACAGAAGGTGACCTTGGCATTAGCTTTGCTCCACAGGAAAACAGCAGCCCCCGCCTGCCCCCCATGAGGGGAGCTGCAGTTTTCATTTGCTTTTCTTTGAAAACAGAGCCCTAGGGAGCCTCACAGGCCCTAAGGGAAGCAGCTTTGAGTTTCCAAGGCGTGAGAGAGAAAGAAGGCAAAAGAACAGGGAATGAGAAACTGCATGATCTTGGGCATATTTTTCTTTGAAAATGAGTTAAAAACCTTCATGGTTCGGAGGACGTTCCCAGAGTGTCAGCATTTCTTTATCACATTGCAAACGTTGGTTCTTATTTTATCAAGTTGACATGAAACTGCTAAAATTAGCTTCTGTGTTTGCCGTCCGTCTCACTCCTTCAGGCTCCTCACCTTGCGGGGAGAATTCAGGGTTTTCAGTGGGGCTGTGGTTGTTTCCCCCTTTCTGGCGCACAGCTACAGGCGCCAGGGCGACTTCTCACTGAGAGAGTGTGGTTTCCGCCTCTGACTGCAGGTTCAAGTGTCACCTCGTTTGGGTGTTTACTTAACTGCCATCATTAAGGTGTGAGAGGAGCCGGCTCCTGACCAGTGCCCCACATTTCTGTTCTCAAATGTCAATGCACTCGAAACCAGACAAGGAAAGTGTTCTGGAAGATGCCATCTGTTTGCTTTTTCAACTTGACCGTTGTCTGAATAGTAAGATGTGTCCTGGCTGAGCACATTTCTTCCTAATGAGCTAGAGCAGCGTGCATGTGTGTGTGTGTGTATATCCTATTAAAAGGGTATTCCATCACTTTTCACTGTTTTTTTCCCTGTAGAAGGTAGGATCTCTTTCGTTCCCAGAGCTTTGCTTTGCCTCCCTGTGTCAGCATTCACACTGCTTTCCTCGTGTGCTGGTACTTCGTGGTATGAAACTAGCTGTGCCTCTGAGGTGGTGTTTCATTTTTTTAACTTAAAATAATTTTTTTTTTTAGTGGTTGCCCTAGAGTTTGCAATATACATTTTTAACTAATCTAAGTCCACCTTCAAATAACACCATACCACTTCACATGTATTTCAGGTACCTTATAACAGCATTTCCCAGTTCCTCCCTTCCATCACTTGTGACACGGCTGTCATTCATTTCATTTTCCATATACTGTACAACCCAGTACACTGTTACTATTACTATTTTATAAATAGTTATTTTTTAGATGAATTAAGAATGAGAAAAAGAAAAGATCTTATTTTACCTTCGTTTCTTCTTAATGGTCTTCCTTTCATTATGTGAATCCAAGCTTCTGACCTATATCATGTTCTTCTGCCTGAAGAGCTTTTTACCGTTTCTTGCAGTGCATCTC